GGATAAGGGGGGAGGTGTGTGCCTCTTTGTTAACAACAGCTGGTGCGCATTCTCTCATATTAAGGAAGTCTCTAGGTTTTGCTCGCTTGAGTTAGAATACCTCATGATAAGCTGTAGACCATACTATTTACCAAGTGAGTTTTCCTCCACGTTTTTCGTAGCTGTCCATTTACCACCACAAACCAATGCTGGCACTAAGATTGAGCTGCATAGGGCCATAAGCAAACAAGAAAATGCATATCCAGAGGCAATGCAAGGAAACTGAAATCCGTCTTACCTCATTTTTAGCAGCATGTCACCTGTGCAACCAGAGGCAAAAAAACACATACAAAGCTCTCCCTCGCCCTCCATTTGGCAAATCTGACCATAACTATATCCTCCTGATTCCTGCTTACAAGCAAAAACTCAAACAGGAAATACCAGTGACGCTCTTAATTCAGAAGTGGTCCGATGAAGCGGATGCTAAGATACAGGACTGTTTCGCTAGCACAGACTGGAATATGTTCCGGGATTCATCCGATAACATTGAGGAGTATACCTCCTCAATCACCGGCTTCATTAATAAGTGCATCGACGACGTCGTCCCCACAGTGACCTCACGTACATATCCCAACCAGAAGCCATGGATTACATAAAACATCCGCACTGAGCTAAAGGCTAGAGCTGCCGCTTTCAAGGAGCCCCCAGGTGGTGAGGGTATGCAACAACATATCCGCCACACTGACCCTCAACACGGAGGCCCCTCAGGGGTGAGTGCTTAGTCCCCTCCTGTACTCCCTGTTCACCCACAACTGCGTGGCTGCGCATGACTCCAACACCATCATTACGTTTGCTGATGACGATGGTGGCTTGCCTGATCACCGATAACGATGAGTGTGGTGCCAGGACAACAATCTCTCCCTCAACGTCAGCAAGACAATGGAGCTGATCCTGGACTACAGGAAATGGAGGGCCCCCATCCACATCAACAGGGCTGTAGTGGAGCAGGTCGAGAGCTTCAAGTTCCTCGGTGTCCACATCACTAAGGAATTCTCACGGTCCACACACACCAACACAGTCATGAAGAAGGCTGCTCAGGAGGCTGAAAAGATTTGGCATGGGCCCTCAGATCCTCAAAAAGTTATACAGCTGCACCATTGAGAGCATCTTGACTGGCTGCATCACCGCTTGGTATGACAACTGCTTGGCATCCGACCGCAAGGTGCTAAAGAGGGTACCAGTACATTACTGGGGCCGAGCTCCCTGCCATCCAGAACCTCTATACCAGGCGGTGTCAGAGGAAGGACCTAAAAATGACCCAAGTCATAGACTGTTCTGCCTGCTACCGCACGGCAAGCGGTACTGATGCAGCAAGTCTGGAACCAACAGGACCCTGAACAACTTCTACCCCCAAGCCATAAGACTGCTAAATACAGTGAGGAAAAAAGTATTTAGTCAGCCACCAATTGTGCAAGTTCTCCCACTTAAAAAGATGAGAGAGGCCTGTAATTTTCATCATAGGTACACGTCAACCATGACAGACAAATTGAGAATTTTTTTCTCCAGAAAATCACATTGTAGGATTTTTAATGAATTTATTTGCAAATTATGGTGGAAAATAAGTATTTGGTCACCTACAAACAAGCAAGATTTCTGGCTCTCACAGACCTGTAACTTCTTCTTTAAGAGGCTCCTCTGTCCTCCACTCGTTACCTGTATTAATGGCACCTGTTTGAACTTGTTATCAGTATAAAAGACACCTGTCCACAACCTCAAACAGTCACACTCCAAACTCCACTATGGCCAAGACCAAAGAGCTGTCAAAAGACACCAGAAACAAAATTGTAGACCTGCACCAGGCTGGGAAGACTGAATCTGCAATAGGTAAGCAGCTTGGTTTGAAGAAATCAACTGTGGGAGCAATTATTAGGAAATGGAAGACATACAAGACCACTGATAATCTCCCTCGATCTGGGGCTCCACGCAAGATCTCACCCTGTGGGGTCAAAATGATCACAAGAACGGTGAGCAAAAATCCCAGAACCACACAGGGGGACTTAGTGAATGACCTGCAGAGAGCTGGGACCAAAGTAACAAAGCCTACCATCAGTAACACACTACGCCACCAGGGACTCAAATCCTGCAGGCCAGACGTGTCCCCCTGCTTAAGCCAGTACATGTCCAGGCCCGTCTGAAGTTTGCTAGAGTGCATTTGGATGATCCAGAAGAGGATTGGGAGAATGTCATATGGTCAGATGAAACCAAAATATAACTTTTTGGTAAAAACTCAACTCGTCGTGTTTGGAGGACAAAGAATGCTGAGTTGCATCCAAAGAACACCATACCTACTGTGAAGCATGGGGGTGGAAACATCATGCTTTGGGGCTGTTTTTCTGCAAAGGGACCAGGACGACTGATCCGTGTAAAGGAAAGAATGAATGGGGCCATGTATCGTGAGATTTTGAGTGAAAACCTCCTTCCATCAGCAAGGGCATTGAAGATGAAACGTGGCTGGGTCTTTCAGCATGACAATGATCCCAAACACACCGCCCGGGCAACGAAGGAGTGGCTTCGTAAGAAGCATTTCAAGGTCCTGGAGTGGCCTAGCCAGTCTCCAGATCTCAACCCCATAGAAAATCTTTGGAGGGAGTTGAAAGTCTGTGTTGCCCAGCGACAGCCCCAAAACATCACTGCTCTAGAGGAGATCTGCATGGAGGAATGGGCCAAAATACCAGCAACAGTGTGTGAAAACCTTGTGAAGACTTACAGAAAACGTTTGACCTGTGTCATTGCCAACAAAGGGTATATAACAAAGTATTGAGAAACTTCTGTTATTGACCAAATACTTATTTTCCACCATAATTTGCAAATAAATTCATTAAAAATCCTACAATGTGATTTTCTGGATTTTTTTTCTCATTTTGTCTGTCATAGTTGACGTGTACCTATGATGAAAATTACAGGCCTCTCTCATCTTTTTAAGTGGGAGAACATGCACAATTGGTGGCTGACTAATACTTTTTTCCTCCACTGTAGTTAGTTTAATAGTTAACCAATAGCTTCCCGGACTATCTGCATTGACCCTTTTGCACTAACTATTTTGACTCATCACATACGTTGCTGCTACTGTTTATTATCTATGCTGTTGCCTAGTCACTTTATCCCTACCTATATGTACATACCTACCTCAATTACCTCGTACCCCTGCACATCAACTCGGTACTGGTACCCGTGTATATAGCCAAGTTATCATTACTCCTTGTATATATACTCCTCGTGTTTTTATTTTTCTATTATTTCTCTTTTTTTTCTTTCTGTATTGTTGGGAAGGACCCGTGAGTAAGCATTTCACTGTTAGTGTACACCTGTTGTTTACGAAGCATGTGACAAATAACATTTTATTTGAAGTTACAGCATCAATCACAGGCTTTACAGACTTTTTGATATACACAAGATAAATAAATAAATAATCAAATAAATAAACAAAGAAGTGAATGATTCCCTGTAAATAAGGGTGGCTGGCAGTGAGTTGTCTACAGTGTGACAGAGTGATACCAGGCAGGCATGGCCATAGCTACACAGAGCTGAGCCACACACAGACACCTCACCCTCCTGACACTAGAGGGCACTTAGGCTACACATAATATCTCCTCTCATCTCAGGCAATCTGGGCACTGCACAGTACACTTTCTGACTGTAGGCTGAGGCTTCACACCACTCTGGTTTTCTGCCTCTTCTCTATCCCATGGATCTGAGCTGTGTCTCCTCTTTTCCAACAAATGTTGTTAAGGTGGTTAAATACAAGGTAATCTGAAGGAAAACTTGAGTCTATAGAAAATGTCAATTTAACCCTGAATCCCTTTGGCGTGTACAAAACACTGTGCGATTAACAGGCCTGCTGTATTCTATTCTTCATCACAATAAAAGCAGAACATACATGCTCTCTACCTCTTTTGTAAACAAAATCAATGTGGCAGGTGCCGCCTCCCCACTGTCACTATGTATCTGTCGGAACATGAGAGCAAGGCCGCGTGATAGGGGCTGACCTGACTCATCCACACCTCAGCCCTGCACTGCCTGCCAATCGAGCCAGGCCTCCAATAATGATGACTCCTGGAATAATTAAGAAATCAATAGGCTCTCGTCTGGCCCTAAATGAGAGGTTGTTACTATAGGGGCAGGCAGCATGTGGATAAACGCTAGGGGATGGAGCGCCACTACAATAGCCTGACATTATCACCCTCAGCCCTCATTACTGGGCTCTACAGATGCCTGTTCTGTTGCCTGGTGTACAGACATCACTGGCCCAGACAACTGTACAGGGCTGGCTTTTGTCTACTCAGGAGCAGCATTGATTTGGAGAATCAGACCTTTTGTAGTCTGGGGTATCTCCCTTAAGAGGACACAAATGCAATCTGCCCACAGTGCCCAATCTCTGCGCACAGGCCGGGCTCTCAAGAAGAAATCGGATTCTGTTTGTGACGTGTTTTGGTGTCCACAAATACAGAAAACACTGTTGGTGTTTGAACACTGGTTTGCTGGCTCAATGACACAAGCCTTTCAATACACGAGGCAACAAGAAAACAATCTACAGAGGACTCTGTCACACACCTTCCTGGGACAGAACCTCACACTCAATATCCCTTTAAACCAATCTATCTATGCTGCAGCCTGCATCCCATGAGTCCCAGGCACCACAACACCACAATTCCCTGTGCTCCTGTTGCCTAACTTCTTCATGGATGGACAGGATGTATTGATTGAACTATCAATCAACTCTGACATCAATACAGCATGATTGCTATGGGATGTGAAGCTCAGAAGTTTGGGGAAGTTAGTGGAGGGAGGGAGAGATGGAGGAAACATCAGTGAGGTACACATGTTGTGTTCTCAATCTCTGTCTCTCCCTCTGATGCCTCCTCTCCTCTCCCCTAACAGCCAGCGGGAGAGGCAGGGGAGGTTGAGGGGTGGGGGTTGGCCACCTGGGGCCCCTAATGAGGACATTGAGAGAGAAGGATACAGGTGTCCTCTGTGTAGGGAACAGGCGCCGTGCTCCCTGCTGCCATGTAGCTGTAGAAGGACACCTCCAGGGTGTAGCAGTAGGACATGTCATCCAGTAGGCCGCCCAGGAAGCGCCTCCCGGTGCCAGCTTTCACCACGTCATGGTTAAATGACGTGTTGGACTGTGGGGGTGAAACACACTGTTAATACAGAGTGCATTCTACTATACCAACATTATAAATCAAATAAGATTTGATTAGTCAGAAAAGTGACAAAGTATATGTTGTAGCCAGATGTGGGATCTTAATTTGATCACCCTGTTGCAGGAGAACATTCCTGCAATGCAATGTATTTGAGGTTTAAAAAAGCTTCTGAAGTTTGTAATTTCCACTTTTCCCTTACGAAAAATGTATCAACCCCTACAAAAATGCCCATTAATTATAATCTACATAATAATTCACATTTCTTGTTGCTGCAGGATTATTTACCTGCTGTAGCAAACTGCCTCAAATTAAGATCTGTAGAAGTGTGTTGGTGAATTTCAATGCTTCATTCTAACAATGCCTATACAACTCATTGCAGTCTTGTTGTTATGCATATTAACATGGATTTTAAGTCAGCTTCAGTGTTATACATGATTCAGTCAATTTAGGCTGTTTCCATTTCCCTCTAGTCCACTCAACTTCAATGGAATTTGACCCCTGTAACTTAAATGCAGGCTTCCACTCCTGGCAGAACTTATTGAGTTCTATGACTATGTGCTTTGGGCAGTGCTGAATGGGCAGGAAAAAAATAGAGCACAGTAAGGGACATGACTTATGGCCAGCTGTCACCGCTATTGTACACACCCCAACGGAATACACACACACACACACACACACGCACACATGCAGGCACACAAACTGCAGTATACACTCGCCAAAGGTTAGCTCTTTATTAAAACAGCATAATAAATAACTGGTGGACAATTCGTTATGTATGGTGGGTGGCTAAAATCATTTTGGCTGTTGAAAGACTTTCCTTGTGTACTGGTGAAGAAAGTCTATGAGAGCTGTGAATGTGTCGCTGCACAGAAAAGGTTATTCTTCTGGCTATATGTAACTGGCACTGCTGCAAAATGTCACTTTGGCTGAGTGCTGAAGGTCAGTGTGGCTGGGAGGAGGAGGGAAACAGACTTCTCAAATATAAAGCTTCCACACCCAGCTGTATGATAGATCTCAGTTAACCTTGAGGTTCATACAGTCACTACCGTAGCATAGACAACTAGCTAATATGTGGTCTGTATTTCCTGTGGAACATACGTGAGATGAGTAGGGTTAGGATTGATATGGCCTGACCAGGGAAATCTCTTGGCCCTGCAGTACTTGTAAAGTTTACCCTGGTATGATTGATGTGAGGAACTTACGAAGGAGAAGTCTGGGGCGTTTTGGCAGAGGAGACGAGGGAACACGGCCTGTCTCTGGACTCTCTCCTCCTCCTCAAACACGTTCCCGTACATGAAGCCATTCATCATGGTGGAGTGGGCGTGCACGTCAATGTAGAACTCCAGACCCATCTTCTGTAAAGGCCACAGAGACAGACAGACAGACAGACAGAGAGAGAGAGAGAGAGTGAGAGTGAGAGTGAGAGTGAGAGTGAGAGTGAGAGTGAGAGTGAGAGAGAGAGAGAGAGAGAGAGAGAGAGAGAGAGATAGAGAGAGAGAGAGAGAGAGAGAGAGAGAGAGAGAGAGAGAGAGAAAGGGGCCCAGGGCAGTGGTGTCACAAATAGAGTGCTAACCTGCCGAATATACACCATTTACACATTTCATAGCCATTGCCATTTCCATCAAAATGTAAAGTTCTTGATTTTACTGAGACTCCTTGCCTACACTGTTTTCATATGCCCACAGCATGGATTCAACCGAGCACTAAACAACAACTAAGCTGTGTAACACAAATGCTTTGGTTGGCTGTGGAGGGCAGCTTCCTGGGGAGGGCAGCGGGAAGAGGCGGCATGGGAGTGCCATCTGAAAGACGACTCTCAGAGGTGGCAGAGCAGCAGAGGAGAAAGCACAGAGGAGATGACACACCTCCCACAGCGACAGAGAGAGAGAGTGAGATGGAGAGGGGGGGGGGGGGGGTAGAATGATAGGATACAAGTCCTATTTTTATCCCCAGTAGAGCCCAGGGACAGAGCTAAAGAGAGGAGTGCCCAGGAGACGGGCTTGGTGGCCCCACACAGAGGAGATATGGAGACTGGCTGGGGGTGACCTCTCCAGATACAGCTGCACAACAATACAACAGTCCAGCCCACACACAATCAGGCTTTACTCAGACTACCAGGTACTGTAGCTGCACTCCTTCCCACACAGCAATCTGAGGAGCTGAGAGGAATACACTATGAGAACCAGCTGCCACACACTCAAGGACACACACACACACACACCGCTACAGCGCCCCTCAGATCACATCTGCGTCAGTACACACCCCTCATAATTAATCCTGGCTTTATTTCAAAAGTTTGGCTTTAAAAGACAGAGATAAAAGCAGTGCAATATGGTGATAGACATTCTTCTAGGGACAGTCTTGTGAAAATCTCCTCAGTTAACAAGGCTGCACAGCAGGGGTGACACAGTGGGGAATAATAGTTCAGTTTCATGTTAGAGAATTGTAGAATGAAATTCCAAGCCAATCCCATGCTACTGTGGCCAGTGTATAAAGCTCTCTCTCTCTAGCCGTGGACACGGTGAAGCAGGTTTAATGAGCCCTCTCTCACTCTCACTCCCCCTGACCCCTCATTCTCCAGGTCAGCCCAGCACAGCCTCCTTTCCCTCCCTATCTCTCTCTCCTTCTCCTCTCATTACACATTCCAGACCGTATCTCAGTTCCCGGGGGTCGTCAGGCGGAAGGGAGGGATGGAGAAGGAGAGGGAGAAGAGGAAATGGAAGGGGGGGAGAGGGTAGGGGGGAGAGGGCGATGCGATGCTTGAAATTCTGCTCACAGCCAAAGCAATTTCCTGGCGAGCGCGGTGCTGTCAGCTGCTCTGATGGCTGGCTGTGAAATATTGTGGCTGGGAGTGGGCCGGCAGCAGGCTCTGGCAGGCTGATGGATGGAGCCCGAGAGGAAGAGCGGGAAACAACAAAAAAACAGAAAAAGAAAGCAAAACACAGCCGCCATTAAGGCAGCTCCATCAGGCAGTTGAAGGAGTTCCCACTTCCCAGGGTCTGCTAGAGGCAGAAAGCCCTCTAATCGGCAGCGCTCACCCAGGTAAAGGGAGGAGGGTGGAGGGTGTTGGGACTTCGGAACCACCCAGTGGGATTTTTTACACAGACGTAAAACGACCCTTCCCCTTGTTAAAGTACAGCTCAAATGATGGAGTATTGTATGTAATGGCACCATTTGCTCGATGAGTTGGCTTGACTGCTTTTCTCTGTTAACAATGTAATTAAAAATCTAAATTAAATGTTCGTACAGCGTTGGGTCGCTTAAATGGCCGCGATCCAGTGGTTTGCTCCAGAATTATATAAAAGATTCAAGCTGGGAAGCCAAAGTGAATCACCAACAGCATCTCCCAGTCTCCAAACAAGGAATCACTCTGGACCCTAAGTGGTGATTCCCCCTAATATCTCAAGGACAATGGAAGTACAATGATACAGTGAAGTTCAATCCAGCCCACAATGTCAACTGAGAGCTAGCATAACAGTCTCCTAATGTGCTGTCAATCACAGGCAGACAGGACTGTGTGGCTGGAGCAGTGATTGATTGTTTAATTACCAACCCACTTTGACCTAGAGAATTGTTCATTTGAAATTGTAATCAAGCAATTAGAGGCAATTAAGAAACGTAGAGAATGAAAGTCAACAGACAATCTGAGTGTAGAGGCTTTACAAATTACACCTCTCATAGAGAGAGCGAGAGAAAGAGAGAGGGAGAGAGGGAGAGAGGGAGAGAGAACGGCTTGTTAGACAGCAGCTCCCTACAACTCAATAGAAGGACTTGGGCACAATTTCATCTGAACTGGGGTTTCTGCAGTTTAGTTCAATGCGGAAGGTCAAATGAATTTAGTCAGACAAGTACTTATCTGCTGCATATTAATTAGTCTGGGCCATAAACGGTTCGCTTATCTTAACACAATTTTTTTGTTGCTGATTTAAGCAGGATTACAGATTAGAGGCAGATTCTCTTACAAAGCCCTTAGCATCAGCAATACCTTTAGAAGAAACCCTAGCTGCGTTCAGTGGAACTTACTTCATAAAACTTTTAACATATAGCTGAACATGCTCAAATGATACTCCAACATCCAGGGCGTGTAGAGTGTTTATAAATGTAGACTAAAACCTATAAGTATCCCTGTATGACTGGGGAGCAGAGTTATGAGTGATACATTTACATTTACATTTGAGTCATTTAGCAGATGCTCTTATCCAGAGCGACTTACAGTTAGTGAGTGCATACATTTTCACACTGATACAGTGTGGTCGGTGCGGTGGGTGGGTCCAGGTGTGCTACAGAGAGAGAACAGACGTGACAGCGCTCAAACCTGTAAGCCCCTCATTCTCTCTCTGCCACAGACTAATTGATGGACGTATTTGTTCCTTTTTAACACAGAGGTGACTTGTAATCAAGCTGAACGGGCACTCAGACAGCCCTCTGCAACAGGGCTGTTAGTGCTTCGTAAGCAGCTGCATCTGTCTGGAAGCCCCGTGTGCCAGGAAAAGCAGCAAAGAGCTGGCCACAGTCAATGTCTGTTACTCCATCTATCCACCTCCCAACCTCTCACACACCCTGTTTGGTGGATCTATGCATCTTTAGCACAAACAGCACAAAACTAGAGAGAAACCCCAAATGGGTTCCTCTGCGGTGCTATTTTCTTGTTCTTTGCCTGTGAGAGCCAGACAGTTCTGCTTCAAACTGGAGTAGGCGGTTGAGGAAGTGAAAAGGGGGAGTAATGATGTGGACAAATTGGCCGTAAATCTCAGAAATGGATAAGAAATGGGCCGATGACACCAGAGGACATCTCAACAGACATACGAAAATAGCATTTTCCCCAAGCGCCCTGAATACAGCAGACAATGGCTCCCCACAGAAAATAAATACAATAAAGTACAGCCAGAAGGAGGAGGGGTGATTTTCAAGGTGCAGTATTCATCTAACAGGCATGACAGGACCAAATACATTTGTTTCAGATAGAAAATGTATTTTGTAATATTAAAAAGGTCAGAAATTAACCATAGCAATACTGGCCCTTTTGTCATCCTTAACAAATTATCTGTCAGATTGGTGGGGATACATTCACTATGATGAATGTTCTGAGTAATCAGCCAATCAAAAATAATGATTAGGAGATGGGTCCATTTGTTTCTTCACTCTTTTCCACCAAGGAACTTGGGAACAGATATATTTTCTTGCATCACTGACTCTATGCCATTTCTGCTTTTGACCAATGCTCAGCTGTGGATGTGAAATGACAGGATTTTATATAACTGTTCAAATGTCCTTACATTCAGATGGTTTCAGAGCTAATATAAGGATGTAAGGTGACAGCTTCTAGGTTTTCTAAGAAGCAACTGAAATCTGTATTTAATGAAAATAAATCTTTGTCAATCAAGCTTAGATAAATGGCTTTTTAGAGATTATCAAAAAAGGAGGGATCTTTCTCTAATGATAGAGAGATACAATTATACATTTTCCAAAATAAAAAACAAGACTTCTACATTACTAAAAGGGATTAAATAAATGCTTTTGCAGTCTGACTGTCACTGAGCCCTTTCCTAAAGCTAGAGAAATGGCTTTGGTTTGACATTCTTCAAGAGTCAAATGGCCAGTGACAGCTTGGAATCCTCTGCGTCTGCTACCATCTGCCAGCTAGAGGGAAGCGGACAAATAAAGAGTAGCATGTTAGCCCGGCGCTGATCTCCTCCTGTTGTCCTCAGACCGTGGCCTTGTAGCCTCATTAGTGGATATGCACAGTGTGAGACAGCAGTGGATGGAGGGCCAGGCCCCTGGCCATAGAGCTGGCACTGGGACTGGCATGTGGGAGCCCCAGATGTGAGTGCTGTGTCTGATGTTATTAGCTGGAGAGAGGCAGCCCAGGTCTCTCCTCTGACAGGGCCAGTCGGCCACAGCCAGGCCTGGGGATGGGATGGAGAGAGTGGTGCTGATGTGATGTGGGCACATGGCCTTGGTTGGGATTGTACTATATGGATGAATGTAGTGCTGAGGGTGCTGGGGGGTTCAGAGACTGAGGTGGTGAAGGGGTGAAGAGCTTAATGAGAGTTCTCCTTCCAACCACTGGATCAGCCAGTGGAATCATAATTACACATGTGGGTAGCAGGCAGGCAGAGGTTCTCTCTCTCAGCCCGTGGCTCTGCACTGAGCTACATGTGCATGTTCTCTATCAGAGTTAGAGTGCATTGGAGGGAGACTGAGGGAAAACAATGTATGTGTGTGAGTATGAGAGTGAATGCAAATGGTGTTGTGTGTTTGTGTCTGAGAAAGAAAGTCAGAGAGAGAGAGAGAGAGAGAGAGAGAGAGAGAGAGAGAGAGAGAGAGAGAGAGAGAGAGAGAGAGAGAGAACCTACAGAATGTACTTTTGTGTGGTGTGTGTTTGGATGTGAGTGTGTGTGTGTGTGTGTGTAGTTTGCAGAAGTGTGAGGGACATGAGTGGATCACTCTGCCATGAAGGAGCCCATCGATCAGCATGTCAGCGCTGGGGGAAAAGGTTAAACTGAGGGGCGCACCCCTTTGCTCAGCAGAATGCCCTGGTCTTATCAGGATTAGAAAGTGTAAGAAATGGCAGACGATTCCCAGGACAGACTCTGACCTTCAGTAATCTAACAACCAGCGTTTTCACTTACAATTAACATGAAGGCAAAATAAAACACAAGGGCCCGGTCCTCTAAGAAAGAAAGTGCAAGCTGAATATAGAGTACACTATAGACACCGGCCCCTCAGTAATATCTAACGTCCCAGAGACCTACATGTTACAGGGAGCTGCTGAGTATCAATCCCACAGCACACCTTTCTTTAGTTCCACAGGATTGAACTAAGCACTAAACTGGAAATAGAGTTCAGAACATAGTTCAAACCTCAACTCAGGTGTTTTATATACTGAGTGTACAAAACATTAAGAACACCTTTCTAATATTGAGTTGCACCCTCTACCATACCCCATTCAAAGATACTTAAATATTTTGTCCCATTCACCCTCAATGGCACACATACACAATCCAAGTCTCAATTTTCTCAAGGCTTAAAAAAATCCTTATTTAACCTGTCTTCTCCCCTTCATCTACACTGATTGAAGTGGATTTAACAAATGACATCAATAAGGGATCATAGCTTTCCCCTGGATTCACCTGGTCAGTCTATGTAATGGAAAGAGCCGGTGTTCTTAATGGTTTGTCCACTCAGTGTAGAGCTAGTATCTACGTGGAATTTGAGCCCATTCTTGACTCTGAAACGGTTGTATGTTGTGTGCTGCAGGGTGAAGAATACACAGCTGTATAAAGTGTGTAAGCAGGTTGGAGATTGGGACTCACTGGGTCTTGGCTGAGCTGGACTATGAGCTGTTTGACGGCGTGGAGGGTGGGGTGGACCCAGGGGGACGGCTCCTGCCAGTGACGGTTCAGGTCAAAACCCATCAGAGAACACCTGGAAATGACCACACACACATGAGTTGAATATTTTCAGATACCTACAACAATAATGTTGTGGCTCTATGTGTTTATATATAATCAATTCAATCAACAATCAATATTTTCTTTCAGATTTTAACTGAACAGTCAATTAGCTTTAACGACCCGATTGTTCTACAAGAACCAATCCGCACATACACTACATGGCCAAAAGTATGTGGGCACGCCTTCAAATTAGTGAATTTGGCCATTTCAGCCACACCCATTGCTGACAGGTTTATAAAATTGAGCACACAGCCATGCAATCTCCATGGACAAACATAGGCAGTAGAATGGCCCATTATGAAGAGCTCAGTGACTTTCAACATGGCACCGTCATAGGATGCCACCTTTCCAACAAGTCAGTTAGACAAATGTCTGCCCTTCTAGAGCTGCCCCGGTCAACTGTAAGTGCTGTTATTGTGAAGTGGAAACGACTAGAAGCAACAACGGCTCAGCCGCGAAGTGGTAGACCACACAAGCTCACAGAATGGGACCGCTGAGTGCTGAAGCACGTAGTGTGTGAAAATCGTCTGTCCTCGGTTGCAACACTCACCCACCGAGTTCCAAACTGCCTCTGGAAGCAACGTCAGCACAATAACTGTTTGTCAGCACAATAACTGTTTGTTGGGAGCTTCATGAAATGGGTTTCCATGGCAGAGCAGCCGCACACAAGTCTAAGATCACCATGCGCAATGCCAAGCGTTGGCTGGAGTGGTATAAAGCTCGCCGCCATTGGACTCTGGAGCAGTGGAAACGGGTTCTCTGGAGTGATGAATCGCGCTTCACGATCTGGCAGTCTGACGGACAAGGCCTAATCGCTCAACATCAGTGGCCGACCTCACTAATGTTCTTGTGGTGTAATGGAAGCAAGTGCCCGCAGCAATGTTCCAACATCTAGTGGAAAGTCTTCCCAGAAGAGTGGAGCCTGTTATAGCAGCAAAGGGGGACCAACTCCATATTAATGCCCATGATTTTGGAATGAGATGTTCGACGAGCAGGTGTCCACATACTTTTGGCAATGTAGTGTAGCTAATACTAAAGGCCCGGATGTATTTCTCCAGAAAGTTATTGGACTCCAGTCAAAAAGCAGCTGATGCCAGGACCTCTAGTCAGAGTGGCTGTGGAAGAAAGGACTCTGGGCTATTCAGCTGCTGCTGCTCAGTATCCATGACTTTCACGGGGGCCTGTCTGTGTGTCAATGTCACTGTGCATGCCTGAGATACTAATCTGTGGTCAGCAGTGATTGATTCTGTTCCCTGCATGCATCTGTTCGATCCCCCTCCAGATGCAGTGTGCTGCTGAGCACTCAGAAAGGCCAAATAGGCTTCATTGGTAAGGGCAGAAAGAGACGCTCTAATTCACATCATATTTAATATGGAGTTAATAATAATAATACATGGGACTTACAGTTGAAGTCAGACGTTTACATACACCTTAGCCAAATACATTTCAACTCAGTTTTTCACAATTCCTGACATTTAATCCTAGTAATAAATCCGTGTTTTAGGTCAGTTAGGATCACCACTTTATTTTAAGAATGTGAACTGTCAGAATCATAGTAGAGAGAATTATTTATTTCAGCTTTTATTTATTTCATCACATTCCCAGTGGGTCAGAAGTTTACATACACTCAATTAGTATTTGGTAGCATTGCCTTTAAATTGTTTAACTTGGGTCAAACGTTTCGGGTAGCCTTCCACAAGCTTCCCACAATAAGTTGGGTGAATTTTGGCCCATTCCTCCTGACAGAGCTGGTGTAACAGGGTCAGGTTTGTAGGCCTCCTTGCTCGCACACACTTTTTCAGTTCTGCCCACAAATGTTCTATAGGATTGAGGTCAGGGCTTTGTGATGGCCACTCCAATACCTTGACTTTGTTGTCCTTAAGCCATTTTGCCACAACTTTGGAAGTAAGTATGCTTGGGGTCATTGTCAATTTGGAAGACTCATTTGCGACCAAGCTTTAACTTGCTGACTGATGTCTTGAGATGTTGCTTCAATATATCCACATAATTTTCCTTCCTCATGATGCCATCTATTTTGTGAAGTGCACCAGTCCCTCCTGCAGCAAAGCACCCCCACAGCATGATGCTGCCACCCCCGTGCTTCACGGTTGGGATGGTGTTCTTCGGCTTGCAAGCCATCCCCCTTTTTCCTCCAAACATAACGATGGTCATTATGGCCAAACAGTTCTATTTTTGTTTCATCAGACCAGAGGACATTTCTCCAAAAAGTACGATCTTTGTCCCCTTGTGCAGTTGCAAACCGTAGTCTGTCTTTTTTATGGCGGTTTTGGAGCAGTGGCTTCTTCCTTGCTGAGCGGCCTTTCAGGTTATGTCGATATAGGACTCGTTTTACTGTGGACATAGATACTTTTGTACCTGTTTCCTCCAGCATCTTCACAAGGTCCTTTGCTGTTGTCACTTTTCGCACCAAAGTACGTTCATCTCTAGGAGACAGAACGCATCTCCTTCCTGTGCGGTATGATGGCTGCGTGGTCCCATGGTGTTTATACTTGCATACTATTGTTTGTACAGATGAACGTGGTACATTCAGGCGTTGGGAAATTGCTCCCAAGGATGAACCAGACTTGTGGAGGTCTACCATCTTTTTTCTGAGGTCTTGGCTGATTTCTTTTGATTTTCCCATGATGTCAAGCAAAGAGGCACTGAGTTTGAAGGTAGGCCTTGAAATACATCCACAGGTACACCTCCAATTGACTCAAATGATGTCAATTAGCCTATCAGAAGCTTCTAAAGCCATGACATAATTTTCTGGAATTTTCCAAGCTGTTTAAAAGGCACGGTCAACTAACCGACTTCCCAAAACTATAGTTTGTTAACAAGAAATTTGTGGAGTGGTTGAAAAACGAGTTTTAATGACTCCAACCTCAGTGTATGTAAACTTCCGACTTCAACTGCATACAGCGCTTTCAAGAACCCAAAGTCGCTTTACAATTGTAGAAATGAAAAGAAAAACTAAAAAACAGGAGTCAAAACAAAACATCAAACTAAACAAAAACATGAAAAAAGAGAGAGGTGGGCTCAAAGAAGGGAAAGAGTGTGATGTATCAATTTATGGGGAGGGTTGGGATTTGGATGTGAACCCAGTTTAGGGTAAGGGGTAGGGTAAGGGTTAAGTGCTGCTCATTATGGTGAAGAGAGGATTTTCTTAGTAGTGTATGTATTTGCTTGTATGTGTGTGTGTGTGGGGGGGGGGGGGCTTTTTCGGTCAGAAGGAGGATCTTGTAATCAATGCATTGGGAGACAGGAAGCCGGTGGAGTTCACGGAGGACAGGGGCGATGTGGTGCCAGGACTTAGTGTGGGTAAGGAGTCATTCTCTATTTCTCCCTCTGCCTCCAAAGCGCCATCCCTGGAATATGAACGGCTGGTTTTCCTATTCAGCTGTCTCTTTTCTCCTCTGTTGACAGTTCAACTCAATGTAATTGCTGCAATAGTCCAGGCTGTTGCAGGTACTCTAAATCAAATCACCTCTTATTCCCCACTGCTTGTTGTCAATCCAATCGTGTGCTCAAAGACACTCACACACACACACACCATTCAGCCAGGCCGACCGCATAATTTTTCAGAGTTGATGAAAACAACCTTTAAAACTGAAGGATTAGCAACAAAATGTGTCTAACCCAGTCATTGTCAGAGAGCACACTTGATCTGCAATAGACAGACTCAGTGCAGTGCGGAAGAGTGGCCACTAGATGGCAGCCACAAACACACGTTCAATGGCAGCACTATCATCTCAGCACATTTGTATTCCTCATGTCCACCCCATTAAGTAAAAGGCAATTATGGAGAGGGAAGTGGAAACGATGCCCATGGAGCCTGTGTCTCAACGCTAAACAAAGGCTGGAGCGTATGGCCTCAGAAAACACACACAGCCCAGTGTAGGAGACACAGTACTGCAGGGGCATACATATGGCATAGGCAATATATATCTTACACAAGAACAGAGATAGAAAGGTGTGTGTGTATGTGTGTGTGTGTGTGTGTGTGTGTCTTTGCGCGCACGATTGGATTGACAACAAGCAGTGGGGAATAAGAGGTGATTTGATTTAGAGTACCTGCAACAGCCTGGACTATTGCAGCAATTAAATTGAGTTGAACTGTCAACAGAGGAGAAAAGAGACAGCTGAATAGGAAAACCAGCCATTCATATTCCAGGTATGGCGCTTTGGAGGCAGTGGGAGAAATAGAAGATGAGAGGGCTGGCAGCCCAGCGAGCTATTCCCACACATGCATCTAGCGGCCCATAAATCATCTGGTAGGGGACCTACACAGTGGGCGTTACCAATCACATCATCACAGCATCTCTCTTTAGCACTAGCAACGTGCTGCAGTCTAGTCAGAAATTTCTATCGGAATCGATCAAACTTACAACTTTTCAGAGGTAGACCTCAAGCAACAGGATGGAAATTATTACAGCAGTAAATGTCATAAAACAACTGAACAGCTAATTTTGTCCATGAAGAAAAGGGGATTTTATATATTGAAGGTTGAGCTTACCTGTAGTTGCCTAAGTAGACCCCATCAGGGTTGAGCATGGGTACAATCTTAAAGATCACATGGTCACGCAGGATTAGGGCTACAGGGTGCTGGCTGACCAGGAAGTCAATCACTCCTAAAGCAACACAAAGGAGACTGTCAGGGTTATTAAACCCTCCTGATTCACTCTACTGTACGGCTGGAGATAATCATGCTCAAAGCTATTCTTTTTCATTCACACAAATATGCACACACACACACATCCTCACACACACTCCCAGTAAAATTGACTTTAAATGAAAACCCAAGGCCACAGTTAATTGAGTTTTGAGGAACAAAAAGAGGACAAAAGCATTATAAAAATCAGAGGGGAAATCTGAGACATCCTTCCAAAATCGATACAAATTGAATAGAGCTGACAGTGGGATAAAAACAGACAGCATAGAGGACCTGATTAGCCCGAAGGGCCTCAAACACTGAGTGAAGGAGATAATGCTATCTGCTACAGATGAGACACAGAGACAGCCAACAAGAGAGAGAGGGAGATGGAAATAGAGAGAGAGATAGAGAGAGAGATAGCATTGAGAGATGTCAACAGTGCCGGCCACTGAAAAGCCCTCCACAGCCCTGGACTGAAGCAGGATAATTGACAAGTAAATAAGAAGCAGAGAGGGCCGACAGCCAACACTGTGTACCCCTCCCTGCCTCCCTCCCTCCCTCACCCCATCCCTCCTACTCCAGCCGCCAGCCCCACTCTGTCCTGCTCGTTACCACTAATGGAGGCATAACAAGCTCTCTAATTGAGTCAATGTGGCAGGCAGGAGGAGAGAGAGAGCGTGGGATACAGGTACAGGCCACAGAGTGTGCCGTCTAATTGCTCGGACTTCCTGAAAGGATTTCATGCACATCTGCGTGTCGGAGTAGGGGCTGTTCCTAAGTGGAGCTCAAAGTCACATTGAGCTACGTGCACTGTCTGCTCTCAGGACTATGGGGTGACCAAACACTACAACACAGACTGGGAGCTTTTCACTGTTTCTTACACTCTATTTTCAACAATGGGAAAGTAAAGAAGACCCAAGACAAGACATCTTATTAACTGTAACTCACTCTTTCTGCACTTCTGATGTCCTTTATGTTGAGGAGAGAAACCCTCCAGGAGTTCAGTTACTTGTCAATGAAACAAGTAGCTCTCACCTGAAGAGCCTATCTTAATAAAAGCATGAAAAATGCCAGACATGTTAAGGGAGGTATGAGTGGAAGCCAAGACTGTTTTTTAATAATCTGCTCCTTTTTCTACTTATTTCTCTGTAATTCTATGAGAACTTGATAAACTGATTGTGAGATGCTCCACCTGGGCTGTGTGTCTGTGTGTGTGTGTGTGTGTGTGTGTGTTTGTGTTTGTGTTTGTGTGTGTGTGTGTGCGCGCATGCGCATGCGTATGCGTATTAGGGAGGTGTGTAGAGCAGAGAGAGACCTACGTTGGCAGGTGGGTGGAAAGCAGAGATCTACCTTGCCAGACTGGTGGAGACAGAGACCTACCTTGGCAGATGGGTGGAGACAGAGACCTACCTTGACAGATGGGTGGAGACAGAGACCTACCTTGACAGATGGGTGGAGACAGAGACCTACCTTGACAGATGGGTGGAGACAGAGACCTACCTGGACAGATGGGTGGAGACAGAGACCTACCTTGCCAGACTGGTGGAGACAGAGACCTATATTGGCAGATGGGTGAAGAGCACAGACCTACCTTGACAGATGGGTGGAGAGTAGAGACCTACCTTGACAGATGGGTGGAGACAGAGACCTACCTGGACAGATGGGTGGAGACAGAGACCTACCTTGACAGATGGGTGGAGACAGAGACCTACCTGGACAGATGGGTGGAGACAGAGACCTACCTGGACAGATGGGTGGAGACAGAGACCTACCTTGACAGATGAGTGGAGACAGAGACCTACCTTGACAGATGGGTGGAGACAGAGACCTACCTGGACAGATGAGTGGAGACAGAGACCTACCTTGACAGATGAAGGATGCAGGCGACTCCCCAGGGTGTACACGGGCTGTGAGGACAACAAGCTTCTTCTGCTTCTCTGGATTCTGTTGAGCTGGAGATGAAACACACCACACACGTTAGATGAGAATATGGTCAGGGACACTGGGGCCCTGCTGTCAGAATTAATTGGTCACTAAACACACACACTTCACAGGTATGTGGTGTAAATTAGCATTCAGGTCAATTCAGTGACTACTGCATGCTGGTGTAATAAGGAACATACAGTATCTGCAGACTGGGATGGAAATCAATTTTATTTAACATTGTTAAAAAGGGACATTGTGACCCAATGGAAATGATGTGACGTGTGCTAGTGAGGCTCCTCTAACTCATTTGTCCAAGGACAGGCTCTTTGTAATGCTGCAAATTAAATTCCATGTACAGTTTTCCCCACTAAAGATGCTATAATGACCTCCAGATCTATTTGGAGATATTCTGCTGGAGGTATGTTTTGACAATCTATATGATGTCCATGATAGACTGCCCAGTTTAATGCACCATAAATCAAATCTGCCTGCTATTTTCTCTCTGTGAAAGTGCCAGGCTGTAGGGGAAATGAGGAAGAATTGCATTCAGGCTAATAAAATCGGCTGGATGAATACCGGTGCTGCTGGACAAAAAGCTGTTAACATGCTGATCTGCCTCCACCTGCTGCGAGTCACGCTCATACCTATTCCTGCCTCCTCTGTTCTGGGTGGCGGACGGCGGTACAGGGCTCTGGCGCGGCAGCAGCCTTTGTTCATGTAGCACAATGTTCCCCTCGTTATCAACTACATGATGGGCTTTCCAAACACCAGGCTCTGCCTCTCATTTCCAAAGAGATCAGGCAGGTTTCATTACCATCAACATGGTTACCTGCTGATTGGAGCGCTGGTATTCACCACACCCTGCATCCACAATGGCCCCCTCTACCTCACTACATATAGTTACACACCATACATTACCACATGCATGTCAAACCTTCCTTCGCTTTGTCTCTTATTCAATATGGATGACTATATTCCATATAGCAGGGATCATATTCAACTATATGAAAAATTGATATATCTCTGGGCATGCGGCCCAGTGGTCACAAAGAGGAAGGCGTGCGTTTGCATCTTCAGAGAGTCCAGTGGATGAATAAGTGATAGAGAGATGCCAAGCACAATGGAGGAGAGGATGGATTGACACCTTGGCTGGTATGGAGGAGGGGGTATCACTGGTGCCCAGGTCAACCCACAAATACTTCCCCTCACTCTCAGCCCGCGCATGAATGAATCATTAAATAAGCGCATGGATTATTCAGCACGCTCTTTGAATAATATATACATATATCATGGTCTGTAAAAACAAGCATGAATAGACCTAATACATTATGGCTCTTAATTTGGTCTCCAGAGGAGAGTCCCAGACCTGGGGAGATTTGAGGATGCTGCCGGGGAGGATAAAAGGGGACTGTGGCTAATGTTGTTAGGGTTGTGGGTTGGTGGGTGCGAATTGGAAATGTGTTTTTTGCATGTCCCAACTCCCCCTGAGACACCCTCGGAGATTGGGGTCATAGCCAGGGTCTGCTATTATCAATAGCGACCCTGGAGCAATTAGGGTTAAGTGCCTTGCTCAAGGGCACATCAACTGATTTTTCACCTTGTCAGCTCGATCTTTGTGTCACTCCCACATGAAATAATACTACAGTTTACTATAGAATACTACAGTACTTACTATAGAATTCTATAGTAAACTGTAGTATACAGTAGAATACTATACTTCACACTGTAGTAAAGCTTGATAATGTGTAGTACTTAACTATAATATAAATACTGTAGTAACCATTCTATAGTTAACTGTAAATACTACAGTATAATACAGTATACCACTTTGTCTGACTTTAGTCTGCAAAAACACTACAGTGAATACTATAGTATTTAAACCATAGTATAGTATAGTATTTTTTATGTGGGCTGGCCCAACGCTGGAGGGTTGTGAGATAGGCAGCAACTTCAGCTTGAGAGCAGGTATCACTGTCTGTGATAACAGACAGTTACTCTGCAGTTGAGACCACAACCAATCACTGTGGTTTGGAAAGATGGTTCTCTTGAGATGTTTCTAGCCACTGCTAAGAGAAAACCAGGCCTGCCCACATGAAAAAAGACTACAGTTTACTATAGAATACTACAGTCCTTAATATAGAATGATGTATTAAACTGTAGTATATTGTAGAATACTATACTACACACTGTTGAATACTTTGATAATGTGTAGTACTTACTATAACATGTTGTAGTATACTGTAGAACACTATAGTAAATACTACAGTATACTACAAACCACAAAAACACAACATTAAATACTACAGTAATGTTCGCAAAAACACTACAGTCCGCAAAAACACTACTGTAAATACTACAGTAATGTTCGTAAAAAACACTTTAAAAACTCTACAGTAATGACTATAGTATATAATACAGTATTTAATTTGCATATACCCTGCCCATTCCCCTCCCCCGTATCCCAATTTGTGCCACCCATAAGTAAGAAACCTACATGCCAAGTATAGACCATATAGTGTTCCCTACAGGTTATAGAAAATAGCAGAAGCGCTTAACTGTCCATTTAGACCTAAATCCTAGCTACCTACCTACAGGTTATGAAAAATTTGCTCTGAGTATTTTGTCCAGTAGGCTTCCTCAAGGACAAAGCCCCCACTGCTATAGTATGTCAAAGATAATAAAACAAAAACACTACAGTAAATACAACAGTATACTACAGTCTGCAAAAACACTACAGTAATTCCTATAGTATATAATACTGTTTTTTCTTACTATAGTATTTATACTATAGTAAACTGTAAATACTACACTATTTTTTCATGTGGGTGTTTAGAGAACCCGACATAAGCCTATAACTGTGTTGTTTGCTACAGTTGGTCCTCAGTGATACTAAAGATACACAAGTGTAAGATTCCATCTCACCATCTCAGAGTTTCTATAGACTACTATTTGTCAGGGCCAAATACTGTTGTGCCCACTGGAAGCAAACTGTACCAATGCACTTCAGCCAAGCTTGAAAACTGCCAAATGATTTTCACAGAACGCAGCTATCGGATGTCGACATTTCTCCACACGTTTGGAAGTGATTGTGTGCCTTATTGCTATGTACACAAACTTAATATCCTATTGATCCCCCCTGAGCTTCTGCTGAGCAGAGAAAATGCTAATTGGCAATTGGCTGCACACCCTTTCCCCTCTTTAATTCCAATTACGTTTCTGAGGGCCTTGGAAAACATGGATTTATGGTTTGAGGGGGTGTGTGTAAACATACAGCATTATTCTGTTTTTCTCTCTTTGCCCTTCACAGAGACAAATGGCTTTGCCATTCAGGAGTCTCAGCGGAACAGCCAGGGCGTTTCTTGTAAATGTGAGTGCTTGCGTTTCACCAGGCCCGGCGCTCACTTGGGTGTGAAATTCCATCAGTTATAAATTCCACCTTGGCCTCGACCCGACACGACATGGCTCCTGATGCAAAACAATGGAACAGTGCCCATATAGTGCCGTGGGCGAGCACAGGGAGCGCTCCATTCAGAGAGGACTTACAGAGTAAACCTAGCATGCACACAAAGCCCCTCCACATTAAAACCAACAGCCTTGAAAAAGACTCCAACAGCCACCACACAACACAAATCTGTGTGGGGTTAGAAAAGAATGCTCTATATATTTTTATGCTAATTTGCCCTTGCACTTCATCAGTGCAATTTCCACCAGGCTTGCAGCTTAGCGAAGATCTATAGTTTATCTTAGTGCAGTGTATGGGGAGTGCCTAGGGTCCCTGCTGCCTCCTCAGCCCAAGCACTTCCCTGCAGCTCTGTCTGTCTGCCTCTGCCTCTGCCCAGCCAAGCGTTTAGCCAAACAGCACCACAGGTTTCCAGCCTCCAGGCGCACAGCACAGCACACAGCTGCAGTGGTACAGCTTTGCCTGCAGGTGCCGCTAAAGATCAGCAGGAGGATATGTAATCCCAACTGATCCAGATACACAGAAAAATACTAGTCTAGGGGGGAGTGAAATAAAACCTTTTAACATAAGACAAATATGCTGTAGAGCAGGCATCATCAACTAAATTCAGCCCCGGGACGAATTTTCTTGAGTGGATGGTCGGAGGCCGTAACATAATTACAAATAATTTGTAGACTGCAAATTGACCGCAAGAAGCCCAAACAGATATAATGTTTGACTAAAACATAATCATTTCAAACCCTGCTGTAGAGGCAAACTCACTTTCCTGCTGGCAAACTCACTTTCCACTGAGTTTTTTGCTCACTTTATTTTGGCTAAGCATTGGAAAGACAGTCTGATACATGTGTATATTATGTATACTGTCCAGGCATATACACTGACATCTACAACTACTGAAACACATTCTCAGAGACAGGATAAGGAATCAAAATAAAGCCACCACAGAGGACTGAGTCAATGTCAAACTACACTTGTCATAGTTAAACTGATACTGTCAGCGCTATCAGTTAGCCTTGAAAAACATACCTTGTTTTAGTTGAAAACCAGGTTTTTTATCTTGAATATGTAGTCTTTACCAATGGCTCTGCCGCCCTCTCCTTAGTACTATATAAGCAGAGTGGAGGGGTGATAAGAGGAGAGATTGAGAGTGTACCTTGCTGAGCAGGTCTACCTGTAATGAACCTCTTAACACTCCCATCATCACAGACCTCAATGGGCCTGTCACAGCACTGCAGATAAGGAGGGGACTTACATTAGGAAAGTCACAAGAGTCAGGGAGGATAATAAGTGAGTGTAAAAGGGAGAGTGAATGTGTGTAAGAGAAAAAGAGAGACAGAGAGATCGGGAGGGAGGGAGGGAGGGAAATGTATGCCCACACCTTTGCATCAAACTGCTCTCTCAGCATATTTCTCACCTGAGAAAGTCACATACGCCACATTAACGCTCGGAGCTCAGAAAAAATAAAAAAAATATGTCATTTTACGATCAGGTCTGATAAATATGTAAATTGCATCAAAGAAGAAAAGTGTCTTTGACAAACAACCAAAATGTTATGGAATTTGAAGGTCACTCCGATTGTGCAGTTCAGTTTTTTTTTGTTACGACAGCCTCAATCCTTCTAATTCAAGTACATAAGACATGAAAATCAGAGGAGGCTGGTGGGAGGAGCTATGGGAGGACGGGCTCATTGTAATGGCTGGAATGGAGTTTATAGAATGGATCAAACATGTGGATTCCATATGTTTGATCAATTTATTCCATTCCAGCCATTACAATGAGCCCGTCTTTCTATAGCTCCTACCACCAGCCTCCTCTGTTGAAAAGGCTTCTGACATAACACAATAAACCGAGTCATTGTTTTCCTCAGCTGGATTCATGGGATATCACATTCTGCATAGATGACAGCTTTTTTACTGGATACTATTGTCATCCATTCAGTATTCATGTACTTTATATGTCTGTTACAAAGGTATTTTATTCCAGGTGTTATTCTAGACACTTTGTTGAAAATATTTTTTGAGTGGGAGTTTAACTATCTCATCAAGTCAATGCCATGACGCATTTTCCTTACTTGGTTGTGTATTATTAAAGGCCCAGTGCAGTCAAAATTCTGTTTTTCCTGTGTTTTGTATCATATTGTACAACAGCTGATGAAACTAACCATGTAAAAGTGTGAAAAGATTTAACAGTGTTATTTCCTGATCATTGCTGGTTGAAACACAATCTACACAGGACCTTCTAATCAGCCTGTTTGCATGGGCGGGAGTTTCGGCTTGCCTGGTGACATCACCAGACAGTAAATTGATTAACAGACCAATAATAGAGTTCCAAACGTCTTTGCCAATAACAACAAAAAGCTTTTTTATTTTATTTATTTTAGTGGAAAACTTTTAAAGTAAGTTACTTAATAGTTACCCAGAAATTATTGAATTTTGATATATAAAAAAAAACTGCTGCATTGGGCTTTAACTCAAGTAATTCATGGTTAATGTAAAACACACAGACCATTAAAACCAGTGAACAGGCAGATTAGCAAAAGGGTTGACTGAGTTCTATGGGACTGTGAGTGGGTGAGATGATGCCACACTGCCCCTAGGTGGGCTCTGTGAGGAGAGACCAATGCTGCCTTCCACTCAGTTGTCCAAAGACTTCAATAACCCAGTGCAGCCCCCAGCCCCTACCAAATCCCTACTCCCTCTAAACACACTGAGCCTTTTACGCTGTAATAAATTAGCTTCACTTTCCCGAGGTGGAAACAGGACACGCTTGCCTGTTCGCGCGTCATATTCGGGGACGTGTGGTAGCTATAATTGTCACTCATGTAAAATGTATACAGGGCCTTGGAATAAAATGTAGACAGTTGTTCTACCCAGTCGACTGAGCCCGAACAACCATCAGAGCCCCCCTCTTTGCCCCCCTGCCACCCTCTGTTCCTCAAGGACAGGCAGAGAAGGAGGAAGAAAGAGGGCTTTAAAAGCAATGGAGCTTCATGCCACTGTTTTCTTCCTTCAGAAAAGGTCAGGCCATGACAGGATATAAGACTGTGGGAACACAAAGCCTCTGGTCTCTCTCAGATTTATTCAGCTCATCTTAATTTGGAGAGGCATGTTGGTGCCAAGGCCTCCTCATACACTCATTAAACCATCCGCCGTCACTCCCACTACAGGCCACACATAGCCACTCCCGAAGAGATACCCCTGGCCCCCACAACATCCCTAGTGTCACAGACCGACAACAGAGCTGACAATCATACCAAATTTAGATTCCACCCAACGCCAACTCCCTCTCTGACTGCTACAAAATGAAAATGCAAAGCAGATAGCCACCGCAGACTCATATTCCATGATATTCTAGGACCAGGCAGAGGTAACAGAGGACAGTATGACGTGCGATGCTGACGTTGGTCGAAGGTGCGGATTGACCACTGAGAGGAAAGAGGGGCCACAAAGGTCAAGTCACTATTCTGTCTAAAACACAACTCCCCTGGCCATCACAACAGAGCTGATAAGACGACAGCTGAAGTGGGCAATCAGTGGCGGAGATTTCACAGTCAGCCTGAAAAGAGGATTAGAATGGCATGTTGTGACACATATCAGAATCACAGCGAGAGAGAAATCCTGGAAAACATAGCATGTAAATATTTTATTTTTATTTTATTTCACCTTTATTTAACCAGGTAAGCCAGTTGAGAACAAGTTCTCATTTACAACTGCGACCTGGCCAAGGTAAAGCAAAGCAGTGCGATAAAAACAACACAGAGTTACATATGGGGTAAACAAAACATAAAGTCAAAAATACAACTGAAAATATATATATACAGTGTGTGCGAATGTAGTAAATTATGGAGGTAAGGCAATAAATAGGCCATAGTGCAAAATAGTTACAATTTCGTATTAACACTGGAATGATAGATGTGCAAAAGATGATGTGCAAATAGAGATGCTGGGGTGCAAATTAGCAAAATAAATAACAATATGGGGATGAGGTAGTTGGATGGGCTAATTACAGATGGGCTGTGTACAGCTGCTCTGACAACTGATGCCTAAAGTTAGTGAGGGAGATAAGAGTCTCCAGCTTCAGAGATTTTTGCAGTTCGTTCCAGTCATTGGCAGCAGAGAACTGGAAGGAATGGCGGCTTAAGGAGGTATTGGCTTTGGGGATGACCAGTGAGATATACCTGCTGGAGCGCAGACTACGGGTGGGTGTTGCTATGGTGACCAATAAGCTAAGATAAGACAGGGATTTGCCTAGCATTGATTTATAGATGACCTGGAGCCAGTGGGTTTGGCGACGAATATGTAGTGAGGGCCAGCCAACAAGAGCGTACAGGTCACAATGGTGGGTAGTATATGGGGCTTTGGTGACAAAACGGATGGCACTGTGACAGACTACATCCAATTTGCTGAGTAGAGTGTTGGAGGCTATTTTGTAAATGACATCGCCGAAGTCAAGGATCGGTAGGATAGTCCGTTTTTCGAGGGCATGTTTGTCAGCGTGAGTGAAGGAGGCTTTGTTGCGAAATAGGAAGCTGATTCTAGATCTAACTTTTGATTGGAGATGCTTAATGTGAGTCTGGAAGGAGAGTTTACAGTCTAACCAGACACCTAGGTATTTGAAAGTTGTCCACATACTCTAGGTCAGACCCACCGAGAGTAGTGATTCTAGTCGGGTGGGCGGGTGCAAGCAGCGTTTGGTTGAAGAGCATGCATTTAGTTTTACTAGTGTTTAAAAGCAGTTGGAGGCTACGGAAGGGGTGTTGTATGGCGTTGAAGCTCGTTTGGAGGTTTGTTAACACAGTGTCCAATGAAGGGCCAGATGTATACAAAATGGTGTCGTCCGCATAGAGGTGGATCCGAGCGTCACCAGAAGCAAGAGCAACATCATTGATATACACAGAGAATAGAGTCGGCCCGAGAATTGAACCCTGTGGGACCCCCATAGAGACTGCCAGAGGTCCAGACAACAGGCCCTCCGATTTGACACATTGAACTCTATCTGAGAAGTAGTTGGTGAACCAGGCGAGGCAGTCATTTGAGAAACCAAGGCTATTTAGTCTGCAAGTATGGGCAAGTTGCAGCGGAGGGTGCAGAGCTGGTGGCCGGGGTAGTGGTAGCCAGGTG